GAGGCGCCTTCGCTGGTCATGGATCAGCAGGGCGACGAGAATCAACCACCTCAACAAGCTCAGCATATCCCTCAGCAAGTTCAGCCTATCCACTATCCAGACAATGATCCTGGCGTTGTTGAAATGCCAGTATCATCAGGCTCTGGACAACCGCCAGCTCCACCGGCACCGCCAGTGGCAGCAGTACCTATCGACGGACCAATCTTTTGCGAGATCCAAGGGGCTCTTCATTTCTTGGAATGTCTATTGCAGTACCAACGGACCCGAGCCCGACTTTACCTCAGTTGCGTCCAGTACCGCCAGATGCAGACATGGAGGATGTAGCGACTTCTTCCAACAATAGGCCTGGACCACCAGGCCCGCTTGGAGCGAGAGCAATTGTTTTTGATCTAGCAGCGCCAAAGCCATGGCGACCATCAGTGCCATCAGCAGGATCTTTCTCACAGCCGATACATCCAACATCATTTCCTGCAGTGCCTGCGAGCTTCGCGACGCCGAGGCATCCCGGACTACCTCAGATGATTCCGACTACTATTGATCAAGCGATTGGCACATCAAGCTCTTCACGAGAACCAGGTAGGGCTGCAACTTTACCGACGCCGGCTACTGCCATGCCGCCGGCGCACAACGGACCTCCTCGTGAATTCAGTCCTATACTCGTAGAGGATTCTGCTCAACTAGAAGATGAATCCCAGATGCCTGGAGATGGTTCACGGCCAGAGAGATCAATAACTACGAGAGGACGATCTACCGACGATTCTCCAGCTACCGTTCATTACTCAGAGGACATGAACAAGTCCGCCGACCTGGATTACAGTCTGAATATTGGATTGGACGACAGTCGCGCATCAAAGAGATCTAACAGTAGCAGCGACAACTCTGTGACTGTGAAGCCACCTCCTTAAAAGCAAGTGCGGATTGCTGAATCAGAAAGGATCGAGACAGAGATCAAGGAAGTGGGCGACCGACCAGATCCTTCGGCGTCTTCCTCATCTGGACCATCGCGACCAGCGCCAGGAGGACCGCCAGTTCTTCCCATCGCTAGTGGACCAGTCGGACCCGAGTCAGCACGGCCTGGGCAGCGATATTCACGTGAACAATATAGCAACATTTGTTTCTAGTCAGGATGTACGAGATCGGACGAGGACATGCAGGATAACTTCTTTACCAGAAGTGGAACCCAACCACTGTGCGACTCTACAATCAATGGAGGACCAACGAGGAGCAGCTGTCAACTACCAAGATATCTGATATGTTCAATGAGCTCAAGAACCTGGACATCGGGACTCATATGAATCAAGCATTTTTATTGGACCTGTATTCTGGAGATGTGTACAATATTGGAGACGACAGCATGATGCTCGTGGATGACGACCTTCGGAAGTATCCCCACTTGATAGACGCAGCAGATCATCGAGAGCTGGAAGCTTTCTGCAATCGCAATGTCTTTGTGCCTCGACTGGCGAGACCTACCAGCAGGAGCTTATTTTGTTGATTGTGCTTCGGTTCGCAAGTGGACTATCAGAGGCAAGAAGGTAAAATCCTGAGTTTGTGCTGGGGGATGTTTCGACAAGCGGAAGCATATATCGGAGAAGCATTCAGCACTGCCGCGAGACTCTCACAACGACTGGTGATGTCCATGGGACTCTGTGACGGGATTCTGTGGAACGATACCGACGACCTCTCCGACATCGACGCGGAAAGTTTGGACATTTCCACGGCGTTCCTCCAAGGATTGGATTGCAGCGAGTTGAGCGCTAACGCGAGAACACTTGGATACGAGTATCGCCACAAGAGAGAATGCAACATTACTCCCCCTGAAAACGTTTGGAGACATTTTCGCAATATGAAGTCGGCCAATAAGGAGTTGGAGGTGTCAGATTCAGAGAAAGGGCTCTATGTGTTACTCTGTCTACGTGCAATGTATGGCTTCACAGATGCCTCGCTCGCGTTTCCGCTGGCTCTTTTTTTCTGTTTGCCTCGGGGGGCCGGGGCGGCCAGTTCATTTTTCGACGACGTTTTCCTTTATTTGACTGTCCCTGTTGATGGAGTCGAGACGTTGGCACTCATTATGACAGCTTACGTGGGCGATCTCCAGAGTGCAGGTTGCACATCCATGCGAATATTGATCAAGGCAGCTTTTGACAATGCGATTTTTGAGAAATGAAGCAACAGCAGATACCGCGCACTCATGCAGGGGTCCAGATAGAGCGACTTCATCCAGATTGCCCGCGGCTTCATCAAGACGAGTTGTGTAGCAAGCTCGCGACCTACAAGATGCCGGAGCACAGATAGAAGAACCCAGGCAGCCTGTGTGACAAGCAGGAGATCACTATCTTCAGATCTTTGTGCTGTTCAGCTTTGTGGGCATGTCAGACACGCTTGGAGGAACTGTGCAGCGACGAGCTTACAAGTGTATTTGCAGACACCATAGATTGAACACATCACCAGCATCAATTGTGTTATCAGGAGTCCGAAGCGACCTCTTCGACGCGGAATATATTTATGGAGATTGCTGCCATTTTTAAGGATTGCCAGCATCAGCGACGCCTCAGCACCAAACAAACAGCGCAATTTCGCGACATAGTTATCATTGTTTGCTTGGCAGAGGATATGATCAATCATATCAGTACTGACACATATGATTTTCCGACCAGTGATCAAGTACGTCTACTTGGAGGCAGAATGCACGTATTGACGGGCAGTTCTCAGAAGGCCAGGAGGATTTCTCACAGTACCTTTCATGCAGAGATTTTCTCAGCAGTCAAAGCTATACCACTGGCACAATTGATCGCTCTTCGACTTCGTGAACCAGAAGTTGCGACGAGAAGAAATTTTGCAGGTCATCACTCAGTTCCCGTGGCTCTACTTGACGTTCAGGAATCAGCAACGGTACCACTACCGGTGGACTCATCTATATACTGTATGGACATGTGGAAACTATAATGTGACATGAAGGGTATCCCTCAGGACAACAACCAACGACTTTGAGTTTTATTTGTTCGAGAAGAACGACGATGCCTGCGACTACGACGCCTTTATCATATCAGGACTAAGTGGATGGCAGTGGATCAGCTTACGAAGGTTGCTGGACAGGACAGTAATCAGTTATACATCTTGGTTTCCGGTGGATTCTATGAATTACAATATATAGTACGTGTACGACAAGGTTTTGGATCCAGTGCAGACTGAGTCGTTGACAGTAATATGATGGCCTGGATTGACTAAGCACAGTACTTACTACAGATATTTGAGATTTGTGGCGACTGTGGTGATTCTCGGACTGTTGGACTGCAGCTACGTGGGCATTGGGAGCCCTCGCTATACGATGTGAAGAATATTTGAGGCTTCTCCTTTGCGTACCTTTATTAATCCGACCGCGACGAAATCAGGACATCGAGCTCTCTAAAGTTTGATGTGGTTCAGCTGCGAATCGAATATTTATATGCTTTCGAAACCACACGAGTATAACGAGAGTTCGAATTCTTATGTGTGATCGGTTTCGCGAGCGGGTCCCTGTGCAGAGCCCTAAGGAGCCCCGGACGTCCCAAAGTTAGGCTTCTAGGCTAATGCTCTGCCTGCCTGCCTGCTTGCCTGTACGTTCCGTACGACAGCCATTACGGCCCAGAACAAGAGGAAAAGTATTTGTCACGATACTGAATTATATCAGTGGCTTACATGTATAGATTCCATTATATCTGAACGTTCATTGGGTTCGGTTGTCATCGATATCCCGAGTGTGGGGGGGTGTCGAATTCCCAGTTTGGGGTCCATGGGGGGGATTAGGGGGGAAGAATCTCACGCGCCTACAGACCCTCAAGGGGTCGGCGGACTTCCTGTGAGGACGGGGGGGGACAGGTTCGGTGTTGTAGCTGGTCGTGGGTGTGTTGCGTCTTCGACTTCGTCTGGACTGGCGCTATTCGGGCTACCCCTCTCTGCATCGTTTCCCCGTGCGCACCGTTCTTTTTGCCACGCGGGTTCGGGCAGCGTTTAATTGACCACCTCACCGTGCGTGTCTGGGCAGATCCTGGGCTCCGGATCGGTGTATTTCAGGAGGGGAAAACAACACGCGCACACACAGACACAATTAATCGTCGATCCTTGCGAAAATATCGGAAAATATTGGAAGTGGGGGGGCAGACGAAAACCCAGAAAATGTAGAAACATGTAAGGAATCCGGGGATTTGTGTGTATTGATCTGTGTGTCCCAGGGCCTCTTCTTTGGTTTTCGCCGTTTTGGCTCGGCCAGGGAAGCGTACACATTGATCCTGGGCCCCGGACGGGCCTGGCCAGGATCCACTGAGGGGGCTGGTCCTGGGCCGCGTGGCAGTCTCAGGCTTCATTTTTACATACGGTGCTCATCTAGTTCTTGCCCTGTGCTCTGGAGCGAGTGTGGGGTGCCCGTCCGCGGCCAGATGTTCTGGAAACCTGTATTTCGTGGCTCCTGGCCTGTGGCTCAGACTTGCGTGGCCTGGCCCAGCTTGGGGCTAACATTTGCGTGGCCTGGCTTCATCTTGGCTTGGCCTGGCATAGCTTGGTCTAGTCTAGCGCAGCTGCGCCTATCTTAGCCTGGTCTGAGGTCGCTTATCTGATCTTGGTTTAAGTCTGCTTGGTTTGACGTGGCTTGACCTGGCTTGGTTTGAATACGGTTGGCTTCGCTTGTCATGCAGGTCATGTGGGCCGTTTTTCTCAAGCGTGTGGTATCCCAGGTATGCAGAAGCTTGGAACGATTCAGGCGGCAGTCGTTTCGCCATTTTGGGCCTATGCCGGCCAGACCTGCAGCGCTTCGAAATAATTGCATGGAGAGCAGCCTTCCATTTCCCACCAGTATCCCGCAAAAGCGTGCCCTGACCCTCGACGTTTCCGCCCTCTCCTTCCGCTGCAGACTTCGATCACGCCCAGCATCGCCCCTCGCAGATAGCCGTTTTGGCTCAGGTTTCCAGGGCAACTCGTGAAAGGCGCAGTCTCCCTGCCTGCCAACTACCTTCGACGTCGTGCAGATGGAGGTCAAGCTCGCGAAGTCGACCAACTTGCCCGATGATGCCATCCTGTCCATCCGCGCAGGAACCGTGCGAAGGCAGGCTGCTGTGAACAGCGGACGGCCATTTCGTTTCCCGAAATCTGCGGAGGCAGATGCCGCGCCCCTGAAGATCGACATCCTCAAGCAAGTGGGTTCCGCTTACCTGGTTCTCAAACCAGGGACAGACCAGTACAAGGTGCTCTTCGCAAAAGACGCTGCCGGTATCGAGCTGGAGGTCTGTGTGAAGAAGCTCGACGGTGCCGCGGCTGCTGCAGCGGGCACCGAAAAAGAGGTCGAAGATCCTAAGGACGCTGCGAATGGCGCGAAGGCCGCCAAGGATTATCTGGAGCAGCACCAGGTGCTGCAGTTTGTGCAGGGCGTGCTGCAGACGGTGATTAAGGAGAAGCCCGAGGACCCCTTTGGCTACATGGCCCGTCACTTCATGGGCGGCTACGACGGAGCATCTGCGCCAAAGGCGGCAGCAACCGAGGAAGTAAAGCCCGAGGTGGCGCCCAAGGAGGAGGCGAAAGCTCCAGCTCCCCCCGTTCCTCCCGCGCCAGTAGAGGACGCGAAGCCTGTGGAGGCCCCCGCTCCAGTCGCCGAGGAGGCGAAGCCAGCCGGGGCACCGGCGGCAGCGGTCGAGGAGGCGAAGCCAGAGCCCGCAGCCGAGGAGGCGAAGCCTGCGGAGGCCCCCGCTCCAGCCGCGGAGGAGGCGAAGCCGGCTGAGGCTGAGGTACCGGCAGCAGCCGAGGAGGCGAAGCCTGCCGAGGCCCCCGCTCCAGCCGCGGAGGAGGCGAAGCCGGCTGAGGCTGCGGCACCGGCAGCAGCCGAGGAGGCGAAGCCTGCCGAGGCCCCCGCTCCAGCCGCGGAGGAGGCGAAGCCGGCCGGAGTTGCCTGGCACCTGGCAGCAGCCGAGGAGCAGAAGCCTGCCGAGGTCCCCGCTCAGAAGCGGAGGACGGCGAAAGCCGGATGAGGCTGTCCGGGACCGGCAGCAGCGAGGAGGCGAAGCCTGCCCGGTGCCCCGCTCCAGCCGAGGAGGGAGGCGAAAGTCGCTCGAGGCTGCGGCACACCGGAGCCAGCCGAGGAGGAACCAGCCGAGCCACCAGATCCAGCGGCGGGAGGCCAGGAGGCCGAAAGCCGGCTGCGGAGGCTGCTGCACGGCAGCAGCGAGGAGGCGAAGAATGCGAGGCCCCCCGCTCAGCCGCGGAGGAGGGAAGACGGCTGAGGCTGAGGCCACAGGCAGCAGCCGAGGAAGCGAAGCCTGCCGAGGCCCGAAGCCTGCCGCGGCCCCCGCTCCAGCAGAGGAAGAGGCGAAAAAGCAGGCGGAGGCTGAGCACCCGCAGCAGCGAGGAGGCGAAGCCAGCCGAGGCCCAGCTTTTTTTCCTTTCTTTCTTGTTTTTTCCAGCCGCGGAGGAGGCGAAGCCGGCTGAGGCTGCGGCACCGGCAGCAGCTGAGGAGGCGAAGCCTGCCGAGGCCCCCGCTCCAGCCGCGGAGGAGGCGAAGCCGGCTGAGGCTGCGGCACCGGCAGCAGCCGAGGAGGCCAAGCCAGCCGAGGCCCCCGCTCCAGCCTCTGAAGAGGCGAAGCCGGCTGAGGCTGAGGCACCGGCAGTAGCCGAGGAGGCGAAGGCTGCGGAGGCCCCCGCTCCAGCCGCTGAGGAGGCGAAGCCGTCTGAGGCACCGGCAGCAGCCGAGGAGGCGAAGCCTGCGGAGGCCCCCGCTCCATCCGCGGAGGAGGCGAAGCCGGCTGAGGCTGAGGCACCGGCAGCAGCCGAGGAGGCGAAGCCTGCCGAGGCCCCCGCTCCAGCCGCGGAGGAGGCGAAGCCAGCTGAGGCTGAGGCACCGGCAGCAGCCGAGGAGGCGAAGCCTGCCGAGGCCCCCGCTCCAGCCGCGGAGGAGGCGAAGCCGGCTGAGGCTGAGGCACCGGCAGCAGTCGAGGAGGCGAAGCCTGCCGAGGCCCCCGCTCCAGCCGCGGAGGAGGCGAAGCCTGCGGAGGCTGAGGCACCAGCAGCAGCAACTGAGGAGGCGAAGCCTGCGGAGGCCCCAGCTCCAGCCGCTGAGGAGGCGAAGCCGGCTGAGGCTGAGGCACCGGCAGCAGCAGCCGAGGAGGCGAAGCTGCGGAGGCCACGCCCCAGCCACTGAGGAGGCGCGAAGCGCTGAGGCTGAGGCACCGGCGCAGCAGACGCAGGAGGCGACAGCTCCGGATGGTCCCGCTCCAGCCGCTGAGGAGTGAAAGAGCCAGCTGAGGCTGTACGGGCACCGGCCGCAGCAGAGGGGAGGCGAGCCTGACGCGGGCCCCACGCTCCGGCCGATTGAGGAGGCACGAAGCGGATTTTTGTTGTTATTGATTTGATTAGTTTGTGATTTTGATTTTTTTGTTGTTTTGAGGAGGAAGCTTGCGGAGGAGCTTTTTTTTTTTGGTTGCTGGTTTTTGATGATTGTGTGTTTCTTTTTTGATTTTTTTTCTTTTATTTTTGGCTTTTTTTTTTTTTTTTTTTTTTTTTTTTATTGTTTTGACGAGTTCTTATGATTTTGAGGCCAACGGCAGCAGCCGACGAGGCGAAGCCAGACGACGCCCCCGACGCGCCCCCGCTCCAGCCGCTGAGGAGGCGAAGCCAGCTGAGGCTGAGGCACCGGCCGCAGCAGAGGAGGCGAAGCCTGCCGAGGCCCCCGCTCCAGCCGCCGAAGAGGTGAAGCCGGCTGAGGCTCAGGCCCCAGCAACAGCCGAGGAGTCGAAGCCTGTGGAGGCCCCCGCTCCAGCCGCTGAGGAGGCGAAGCCGGGTGAGGAGGCGAAGCCGGCTGAGGGTGAGGCACCGGCAGCAGCCGAGGAGGCGAAGCCTGCGGGGATTGCCCCGCTTATTGTTTTTTTTTATTTTTGTTTTTTTTTCATATTTTTTTATGTTTTATTTTATTCTTTTTTCTTTGTTCTATTTTTTTTTTTTTATTTTTTTCACTTTTTTTCTTCTATTTTTGTTATTTTTTATTCTTTTTTATTCTTTTTGCTTTTTTTTTTTCTCCAGCCGTTGAGGAGGCCAAGCCGGCTGAGGCTGCGGCACCAGCAGCAGCCGAGGAGGCGAAGCCTGCTGAGGCCCCCGCTCCAGCCGCTGAGGAGGCGAAGCCTGCGGAGGCTGAGGCACCGGCAGCAGCAGCCGAGGAGGCGAAGCCAGCCGAGGCCCCCGCTCCAGCCGCGGAGGAGGCGAAGCCGGCTGAGGCTGAGGCACCGGCAGCAGCAGCCGAGGAGGCGAAGCCTGCGGAGGCCCCCACTCCAGCCACTGAGGAGGCGAAGCCGGCTGAGGCTGAGGCACCGGCAGCAGCAGCCGAGGAGGCGAAGCCTGCGGAGGCCCCCGCTTTTGGCGTTTTGTTTTTTTTTTTTTTTTCCTTTATATGCCTTTGTTTTTCCCGGCCCCCGAGGAGGCGAAAGTCCTGCTTTTGGGTTTTTCAACTGCGGAGGCTGCGGCACCGGCAGCAGCCGAGGAGGCGAAGCCAGCCGAGGCCCCCGCTCCAGCCGCTGAGGAGGCGAAGCCGGCTGAGGAGGCGAAGCCAGCTGAGGCTGAGGCACCGGCAGTAGCAACCGAGGAGGCGAAGCCAGCCGAGGCCCCCGCTCCAGCCGCGGTGGAGGCGAAGCCGGCTGAGGCTGAGGCACCGGCGGCAGCAGCCGAGGAGGCGAAGCCTGCCGAGGCCCCCGCTCCAGCCGCTGAGGAGGCGAAGCCAGCTGAGGCTGAGGCACCGGCAGCAACCGAGGAGGCGAAGCCTGCCGAGGCCCCCGCTCCAGTCGCTGAGGAGGCGAAGCCTGCGGAGGCTGAGGCACCGGCAGCAGCCGAGGAGGCGAAGGCTGCGGAGGCCCCCGCTCCAGCCGCTGAGGAGGCGAAGCCGGCTGAGGAGGCGAAGCCGGCTGAGGCTGAGGCACCGGCAGCAGCCGAGGAGGCGAAGCCTGCCGAGGCCCCCGCTCCAGTCGCTGAGGAGGCGAAGCCGGCTGAGGCTGAGGCACCAGCAGCCGCCGAGGAGGCGAAGCCTGAGGCCGCACCGGCAGCGGCCACGGAGGAGGCGAAGCCGGCCGAGGCCCCCGCTTCGCCAGCTGAGGAGGCGAAGCCTGCGGAGGTCCCCGCTCCAACCGCTGAGGAGGCGAAGCCTGCGGAGGCCCCCGCTCCAGCCGCTGAGGAGGCGAAGCCGGCGGCCGCACCAGCAGCAGCCACGGAGGAGGCGAAGCCGGCTGAGGCCCCCGCTCCAGCTGCCGAGGCGAAGGCGTGAGGGACTGGCGGGGGCCGCAGCCTCACTGGTCAAGGGGCAGGAGTGGAGCAGCGGAGGCCTGCGGGTCAGCCGAAAGCGTATGGGATTCTTCACAACGTCGACGTAATTAGGTAATTTTTGCCAAGTGAGCGACGCAAGAAAACGGGGTCGTCTTCGCCGACACTCGCGCGTAAGTGGCCCGCGTAAGGTCGCGCGTAAAGGCCCTCGTCTACAATGTAGCGTGCCGCGCTGGCGGCCCGCGTAAGCCGCCGCGAAAGGTCGCTCTGTCATCTCACGTAATGCTTTTTTTGATCGTCGCTGACGTCGACGTAGGTAATTCTTTCCCATTGAGCACGCAGAGCGAGATTCACGACGGACCCCACGGGAGACATTTTCACGCAGATTCATTGGCTTACCCCGAACCGATTTTGTAATCAGTCGGTTCTAGGGGGTATCGCTTTGACGAGCTTTGGCACCAATCTTTGTAATGCTTGACGCTTTGTGTGTCCCCACCATGCCATCCCGAAACGATACACATGAGTCATGAGAGTTTCCTGGAGGAGGGGTGTATGTATGCATGTAGTGAAGCAGGGACTTCGGGGGAATGTCTTGGAGCCATCTGGGGACCATTTTGAATGCTTTTTGGGGCTCTGTTGAGGGCCCTGGAGGGCCTCATCGACTGGAAGAAGAGGGTCCCGGAAAAGGGGTCCCCCCTCGAAGGCCGAAGACTGGTCTCTTGGGGCCATCTTGGGGGGCTAGTTGTGGCGCTCTTGGGCACGCTTGGGGCCGTCCAGGGGGGCCCTCTCGGACATCTCTTGGGGCTATCTTGGGCCATCTTGGGGCCACCTTGAGGCTTCAGAGGCCCATCGGAAGCGAACCGGCGAGAAAACCACACAGCATTTCATGATTTTTGGAACTGGTTTTCAGCATTTTGGCTTCTTTGGAGGGTCCTTGGGGGGTTCCGGGTTCAGGAGGATCTGGAGCCGTCTTGTGGCCGTTTTGGGGCTTCTGGGGCCCCAATCGGAAGCGAAAAGGCGAGACGATAAAACACAGTGACCGACCTTAGGTTTTTGTAGGATTTTAGCATCTCGGGGGCCATCTTGGGAAACTCCACGGTCACCAGTAGCCGTCTTTTGGTTGGTTGGTTTCGTGGTTTCTTGGAGGCAAGGTCGAAGTCATCTTGAGCCATCTTAGGCTATCTTGAGCTGTCTTGGAAGCCATCTCAGATTGACTGAAGCCCTCTTGGAACCATCCTAGGGCACTTTCGACGCCCTAACGCCTCGAAGGGGGCATGGGCGAGGGGCGACCCACCCCCCCGCCAGGCATTAACGTTTCGAGCTTTTCCCAGCCTCCCGTCCCACGACGCGGAGCGACACTCCTGTCAGTCTGCGGCGAATGGCGTGTCGCAGGGGCCGCCGCAGCGACACGCTGAGCAAAAAGTTCCACTGTCAGTCTGCAGCGACTAGCGTGTCGCAGGGGCCGCCGCAGCGACACGCTGAGCAACAAGTTTCCCACGACGGCGGCGGGGCGAGACGCGCGCAGGCTCTGAGCGCACGAGGGGTAGGGAGCCCCGGGGGAAAGCGAGCCAGCGCGAGCGGCGTGCGCTCCGAAGGAGCCCGCGGCGGACACTGGCGCTTCTCGGGCAGTGCCAAAGGGGGGGTTCAGCACCAGGGGGGGGGTCACCAGTTCCTCCTGGACACTGAAGCCCCAGGGCCGAGCAGGGTTTTTGACATGGGGGGGTCGTCCTGGAAGGCTCGGGAGTGTTCTTGGGGGCCCACCTCCTCAGGGAGTCGGCGTTGCCTCGAGGAGGTGGCGATCCCCCCAGTGGTGACCCCGCTCGGCACTGCCCCAGCCTCTGGGGAGGCAGCGGCGTGCATGGCAACCACACGCAGCTGCCGGTAGGGCGACGCGCCAGAGCGGGGTCGACCGCGCGGGCATGGGCGCACAGGGCTGCCCGCGCGAGGTCTCGTGCGCGAGGGGGCGCCCCTCTCGGCACGCGCTCGCGGCCCGCGTGGGCCACCGCGTCGGGTTGCCGTGCCGTCGTGCGGGAGGCCCGCAAGGGCAGGTTCGCGCCGTGTCGACGCGGCAGCGATCCTGTCGCTGGCGTTCCTGGTGGAACGCCGCCAGCGGCCCAGAATCGGCCAGTGTGGAACGATCCGGCGATCGAAAAGCCTCCGATCGTTCGGGGTTCAACGATCCACGCGGTGTCAGAAGCCCAACGCTGGGGTCGTCACGTCACGAACCTGTGGTATTTGTTATGGTCGCCGCAGTAGGCATAGACGCATCGACTGCAGGGGGAGGGGAGGGGTGGCGGAGAGTGACACGTGGACGTCCGACGGCGTGTACCCCGGGTCCACCTTTGATGCCCCCGGAGGCCGAATTCTGAATGAAAAGACCGATCCGCCGGCTGTCTGGGCATTTGGGGCAGGGCAGGGTCGGGGGGCGTCGTTCCAAGAAGGGCGCCCGCCTTTCCTCGGAGGTGTGGAGGGCACGGTTTTGTGACGGCCGCCGCCTGCCGAGAGCCCCCCCCCGCGCCTTCCGCTCGCCGCCTCCAGGTGCGGGGCACATGGGCTCCCATGCCTCCAAGGCTGAAGCTCCGACCTCCGCCCACTGCTTTGCTGCTGCTGTTGTCGCTGCTGAGCCTGGAGTGCCAGACAGGTGCAGCCAGGAGCTCCTGGCTTAGCGTGTGGCGCCCCCACTTCTGGCCCATCGCGCCGCGGCGCCACACGCTAACCGTGTCACGGTCCTCGACCGTGAACTCCCGAAGCTTTCGAAGCTTCCCGTCCCGCGATGCGGAGCGACACGCTATCCCCCCGCAAGGCGTAGCAGGTCGCCGGGGCCGCCTCCGCGACACGCTAAGCAAGAGTTCCTGACCATCTCATTGTTGGACATCCTGACGGCGCCCTGGCGCTCCCGCCTCGGCGCTGGCTGCATTTCCTGGGAGAGCGGGGCTCTCACGCTCGAGCGTTCCGGGCTGCGCTGGGACCAGTCCACCAACAACAGCAGCAGTCGGTTGAAGCCTGCTTCCTCTGCGTTGCTCGCGTGCTGTTCAAGATTTCAGAGTGACGGAGCCGAACGGTCACTCATTGTCCCAGGTTGCGTGCGTTGCGTCGTCGTCGTCGTCGTCGTCGTCGTCGTCGTCGTCGTCGTCGTCGTCGTCGTCGTCGTCGTCGTCGTCGTCGTCCCCCCCCCCCCCCCGCGTCACGCGACCCACCCACGACTCACCCGCGACCCACCCTGCAACTCACCCTGCAGCCCACCCGCCCGCCCGCCCCCTCGCCCTTATCCGCAATTGCGGGGTGCTACGCGTGTCCCGTCATGAGGAACCTGCTGCTGGGGCCCTCGGTGGAGCTCCCTATGTGGTCGCGAGGCGTGTGAGGGATGTGCCGACATCGGTGGAGCGGCGGCATGTGCTCCCCCCCTCGCCTCCTTTGGGCCTTCGGCGGAGCTCCCTATGCGGCCACGAAGCGTGTGAGGGGTGTGCCGGATGGGAGGAGGGTAGAGGCAGAGGCACGGCTGGGAGGAGGGAGGAGGGAGACGCGAGGAGGCGCTGCGGATTCAAGATGAGGATCCAACTCAACACAGGATGGTTGGGAATGAAGGAAGACCAAAATACGTAGTACCCCGCAGTCGTGGATAAGAGTGAGGTGGCGGCGGGGACGTCGGCAGTCTGCGGTGCTCTGAAGAAGCCAGTCGCAGGCGCTTAATTTTTACAAATTATACAACGAGCCCGTGGAAGGCGCCGATTTGTTGTTGAAGCAATGTGGGTGGTTCGCGGGGTGGGTCGCGGGTGGGTCGCGGCTGGGCCGCGGGTGGGTCGCGGATGGGTCGCGGGCCGAGTCGCGGGTGGGTCGCGGGTGGGTCGCGGGTGGGTCGCGGGTTGGTCGCGGGTGGGTCGCAGGCGGGTCGCGGGGTGGGTCGTGGGTGGATCGCGGGTGCGTCGCGCGGTGGGTCGCGGGTGGGTCGCGTGCGGGTCGCAGGCGAGTCGCGGGGTGCGCCTCGGGTGGGTCCCGGGCCGGGTCGCGGGGGGGACGACGCCAAACACCAACAACAAACAAACAAACAAACAAACAAACAAACAAACAAACAAACAAACAAACAAACAAACAAACAAACAAACAAACAAACAAACAAACACAGTGAGTGACAGTTCGGCCCCGTCACGCTGATAGTTATGTGAACAAATGCCCCCCCAGCCCTCGCCTCGATGCCCGTCCTCTTCGTCTTCGATCCTGCCCCCTTTGGGAGTCTACCTTCTCTGCCTGTCACGTGTAGCTGGCGCGGCCCCTCCTGGCGAAGGACCCAACCATGCGCAGTTGCGAGCACGATGCCCGTCCTCTTCGTCTTCGATCCTGCCCCCTTTGGGAGTCTACCTTCTCTGCCTGTCACGTGTAGCTGGCGCGGCCCCTCCTGGCGAAGGACCCAACCATGCGCAGTTGCGAGCACCGCGTTGTGTGTACACTTTTCGGTGGAGCTTCCCACGGGGCCACGAACCGTGTGAGGGGTGTGCAGACATGGGGCGGCGGTGCCATGCGGGCCCTCCCACTGGGGCCTTCGGTGGAGCTTCCTCTGGGGCCTGGACGCGCGCGCTCTCGGGCTCGCCCCCGGCCAGGGATGTGACTCGGCCTGCGTCATCGGGACCGTCGTCAAGTCCAAGATCGCGCCTCCCGCGCGGCTCGGGCCCCCCTTGCCCGCCCTCCGACAAGCGGGTGCTCACGAGGGGCCCCCCCGGCTCCGGCCCCGCTGGCTCATCGACGACGTCTTTGTGCGTCGGTGCCATCAGATCGCGCCCCCCCGACCTCGACGTCGTGCTGAAGAAACCGCGCGGCGCCCGCGGGGCGGTGGGCCTCCTCGCCGAGCCGTGCTCGCGTTGCGTCAACCGCGCGCTCGCCGCCACCCCCGTCTGCAGGTGGCTCGACCGGTACCTTGCCCGCGCGGCCGACCCGTCCGATTGCGGCGACATCTTCGAGTCGCTGCTCTGCTTCGTCGCAGGAGACCACGTTCAGGCACGCGCCTGGCGC